AAGCAAAGGTAATCCAATGGAGAAAGGGTCATCTTTTCAACCAATGATGCTGGGACAACTGGACATCACATGTTAAAAAAAAATCAAAAAAGAATCTAGATACTGACCAAACCAAACCCATTGCCATCTAGGTGATCCCACTTCATAGAACTGTCCCTAAACCCAAAAAACCAAACACACCGCTGTTGAGTCGAACCTGACTCATAGCAACCCCTCCTTGGGTTTCTGAGGCAGTATCTCTATGGAAGTAGATTGCCCAACCTTCCTTCTGAGGAGTGGCTGCTGAGTTTGAACTGCCAGTCTTCTGGTTAGCAGTCAAATGCCTGGGGCACTATGCCACCAGAGCTCAGAAGCAGCCTGCCAAATCTTCCTCACATGGAGTGGCTGATGGGTTTGAGTAGCCAACCTTACAGGTAGCAGCCAAGCACTTAACCACTACTCCACCTGAAATTTACAATTTTCTAAAAGTCACCCAAGGACATCTAAGACTCATGCTGAGGTGGCTCAACGCACAGCAACCCAGGCAGGAAGTAACTGAACCATCTGGGAGGGTACAGAATAATTGGCTCCTTCGTCTGAATCTTTAGTACTGAGAACAGTGCTCTCAATAAAGTTTAGTTCAATGAATAAAACAAACTTTAATTAAGCCATTTTAATATAGTTACAGCACAAATGAACTTATTTCTCAATGCATGGAACTAATTCAATAGGCTTTTTAATGGTTTTATGATGTTACTGATATTTTTTTCTCTTCTCAGAAAATTGGAGAGGGGGTGGTAAAGCCTCATCCTACTTGCTCTCCAATATGCTTATGGATCATATTATGTTGTTGTTGTTGTTTTGTGCCATCAAGTCGGACCCGACTCATAGCGACCCCTCCTTGGGTTTCTGAGGCAGTATCACTATGGAAGTAGATTGCCCCATCTTCCTTCTGAGGAGTGGCTGGAGGGTTTGAACCGCCAGCCTTCTGGTTAGCAGTCAAGTGCCTTATTATGTAGCAAATCAAATACCTTTTAAGGTTACTATCAGGCACTTGGGAGCTCTGGTAGCATAGTGGCTAAGACACTTGACTGCTAACCAGAAGGCTGGCGGTTCAAACCCACCAGCCACTCCTCGGAAGGAAGGTTGGGCAATCCTACTTCCGTAGTGATACTGCCTCGGAAACCCAAGGAGGGGTCGCTATGAGTCAGGGCTGACTCGACGGCACATAACAACAACAACAACATCAGGCACTTGACTGCTAACCAGAAGGCTGGTGGTTCAAACCCTCCAGCCACTCTTCGCAAGGAAGGTGGGGCAACCTACTTACATAGTGATACTGCCTCGGAAACCCAAGGAGGGGTTGCTATGAATCATGTCTGACTCGATGGCACATAACAGCAACAACATCAGCTCTTAGGGATAGTGAATCTCTCTGGTCAATCAGTCCTCAAAGTCACTGATTTGTTTTAGTCATCCCTGCTGCTTCTTCCTTATAAGAGGATTCCTTCTTTAGGGAAAGGGGTAGACCCCAAAAGTATAGATTATAATGCAAAGGGAAACCACTAACCTCTTTCCAGCAATGGTTCATGATCTGGTAGATATTTGAGGAGGCCAGACGTGGCTTGTACAATCGAAATCCAGTGCTGATGTCTTCCACCACCTCAGAGTTGCTTCGATTTTCATATGGGATTTTGCCTTCACTGAATACTTCCCACATCAGGACACCTGTGAGAGATGGTGAGTCTGGTACAGCTGAGGATAAAATCCACAGGCAGCAAACAAACCAACCTCTAGGAACCACAGACTCCTTTGTAGTAGGTTTAGGCTCCTACTTCCAGGAAGTACAATATGAAGTCCATCTGAGGCTGATGAAGCCTGTCCTGTTCCTAAAGATCTGAGATTTCCCAACCCTCCTAGTAGTTAAGAGCTTTACAGCTCAGCCCTTTGTTACACCTAATTCAAATGCGTATGATTAAAAATTGCAGGGTATCTAACCAAAATCCACAAGTGAGTGGCTTTAACAAATGGAAATTTATTCTGTCACAGTTTAGGAAGCTAGGAACCTAAATTCAGGGCACTGGCTCTAGGGGAAGGCTTTCTGTCTCCATGGGCTCTGGGAGAAGAGCCTTATCATCAATCTTTCCCTGGATTTTAGGAGTTTCTTAGTGCAGGGACCTCAGGTGCAAAGGACATGCTCAGCTCCCAGCTCTTCTTTCTTGGTGCTATGAGGTCCCTCTTTCTCTGCTCATTTCTTTCTCCTTTTATCTCTTGTAGGAAAAAAGTGATGCAGGCCATACCCCAGGGAAACTCCCTTTACATTGGATCAGGGCTGTGACTCGATTAAAGGAAATTGCATCTCACCCTAATTCCCTTACAAATTGATGGGCTGATCACATCATGGGGGATAATTACATCGTTACAGGACTGCCAAACCACTAAGAATCATCGCCCAGCCAAGTTGATACATATGTGGAGGGGACACAATGCAATCTATGACCCAGGAAAAAATAAACTCAAATGCCTAAGATGATATAAATGAATGAAGTAGATAGGTATTAAGGGAGCTCTGGTGGCATAGTGCCTAAGGTATTTGACTGCTAACCAGAAGGCTGGCGGTTCAAACCTACCAACCACTCCTCAGAAGGAAGGTTGGGCAATCTATTTCTATAGTGATACTGCCTCGGAAACCCAAGGAGGGGTCGCTATGAGTTGGATCGGACTCGATGGCAGTGGGTTTGGTTTTTTGGTTTAGATAGGTATTATTGAACTGGTGAGGGATGAGTGAGGAGTGTGGAAAGCTGGAGAGGGAAATTCCATTTCAAGGAGACAGCTGTGATTCAGCATCAGCCAATTTATGGCACACAGAACAAAGGTAAAGGGTTGCCAGTCTTCTGATTTTTTAACAGAAGTCCGATGTTGAGTTTTAAAATATGAACTCAATATTTTGGCCAGTAAGTTGACTTATAAAAATACTCTGTAGACCAAGCAAAACATGTTTTCAGGTTTTCCATTTTTGACCTCTGGTTTAATCCTCTTCTACCCTTTGGGTAATCTACTTCTGTAGAGATACTGCCTTGGAAACCCAAGGAGGGGTTGCTATGAGTTGGATCTGACTCCATGATAGTGAGTTTGGTATTTGGTTTTGTTACCCTTAGTAGAGCTCTGGTGGTGTAATGCCCAAAGCATTTAACTGCTAACCAGAAGGCTGGCAGTTCAAACCCACCAGCCACTCCTAATATATCCTAATATATCCATAGGATGTCACAATGGGAAGAGAGCTTGCAGATTATCTAACCCAAACTGTGATCTCTGAAACACCTGCATAAAAAAAATCCCCTCAGAAATTTGTTAAAATAGAAGATTCCTAGGCCCCAGCCCAGACTCACTGAATCAGAATTTATAGGGAGCCTTTAGAAGTACAATGCGAGTTTTGGAAATTCAGAACTTGACTATGAATAAAGCTGTTTAGCTTCTAAAGATGAGCCCTGGGTGGTGCAAAAGGCTAATAACCCGAGGTTGATAGTTCAAATCCAGAATTGCCTTGGAAGAAAGACCTGGTGGTCCACTTCTGAATGGTCACAGCCATTGAAAACTCTATGGAGAACAATTCTACTGTCTGACACACATGGGGTCACCATGAGTCAGAATCAACACAATGGTACCTGGCTTGGTTTGATTTTGGAGCATCCTAAAAGATGCCAGGATTTCTAGTGAAATTTTAATGGGGTTCTGTGGCTTAAAAAAAAAAAAAGGATTGAGAACAATTGCTTTAATACAAACCTTCTAACACATTAATGAAATACTGAGTAAACTCAAAGAGGTTACTTGACTTGGTTAAAATAACACAGCTAATTAGGGGAAAAATCTTAAAATGCCTGGTTTAAAGTCCAATGGCCTTGAGACAAAGGTGAAACTCTAAGCTTATCCAGGTTTCTGTTCCTCACATTTTCTTTCCTGAACCCATTCTACTCTGCATCCATCAGCCACCCTCATCTCTGGACTTTTTTCCAAATGACACAACCTAGGCAGGGACAAGCTTCAGCCCAACCCCCTAATTGTAAAATGTAGCAGAAAATTCCCAAGCTGACACTCTGTGGCAAAACAAAGCTCATTCAGATACAGGTGAGTGTGTCAAAGTGGCCTTTCCCGTAAATATCTCTTTATAGGCCCTCAGCTGGATACAGTATGACTGCCCTCATCACTCATAAAGAGAGGGCTTCACAACCTCTCTGACCTTCCTAGTTATAAGCACTAGAGAAAGAAGAGACTTCTAAGAATGCTGTTGCTATTAGTGCAGTTTTATTTCTTCCCAAGTTCATCTTGTAACTTCAACCTGGCTAACATAATTATAGCTTGGCCTGGTGAGTAGGGAGACTGTTTTCAGGAACTGATGAGAAGGAATTGTAATGAACAAACCACTATTGTTGTTAGGTGCCATCAAGTTGGTTTCAACTCATAGCTACCCTATGTACAAAACACAACCTGGTCCTGCACCATCCTCACAATCATTGCCATTCTTGAGCACATTGTCATAGCCACTGTGTCAATCCATCTCATTCAAGTCTTCTCCTTTTTTGCTGACTCTCTATTTTACCAAGCATAATACCCTTCTCCAGGGACTAGTCCCTTCTGATAATGTGACCAAAATATCAGAGACAAAATTTGGCCATTCACATTTCTAAGGAGTGTTCCAGCTGTACCTCCTCCAAGACAGATTTATTCATTCTTCTAGCAGTCCATGGTATACTCAATATTTTTTGCCAATACCACAAGTCAAAAGCATCAATTATTCTATGGTCTTCCTCATTCATTGTCCAGCTCTCACATGCATATGAGGCTATTGAAAATACCATGGCTTGGGTTAGGCACACCTTAATCTTCAAAGTGACATCTTTGCTCTTCAGCACTTTAAAGAGGTCATTTGCAGCAGATTTGTTCAATGAAATATGTTGTTTGATTTCTTGACTGCTGCTTCTTTAGGCATCAATTGAGGATCCAAGTAAAATGAAATCCTCAACTTCATTCTTTTCTCCATTTACCATGATGTTTCTTGTTGGTCCAGTGGTGAGGAGTTTTGTTTTCTTTATGTGGAAATGTAATCCATACCTAAGGCAGTAATCTTTGATCTTCATCAATAAGTGCTTCAGGTCTTCTTCACTTTCTGCAAGCAAGGTTGTATCACATGCATAGTGCAGGTTGTTAATAAGTCTTCCTCCAATCCTGATGCTGCGTTCTTCCTCACATAGACCAGTTTCTTGCATTATTTGCTCAGCATACAGATTGAATAAGGATGGTGAATAAACCACTAGGTTGTTTGGAAATAGATATTCTAAAATGTGGAGAAGACTTTGAAACTAACTAAGTAAGAGACTTAATTGTTGTTATTGTTCTTTTGTGCCATCCAGTCTGACCCAACTCATAGAGACCCCTCCTTGGGTTTCCGAGGTAGTATCACTAAGGAAGTAGATTGCCCAACCTTCCGTCCAAGGAGTGGCTGGTGGGTTTGAACCACCAGCCTTCCGGTTAGTAGTCAAATGCCTTAGGCACTATGCTACCAGAGCTCCTAGAGACTTAATTAGTCACCTTCTTCTTGGTTTTCACTCCTAGTCCATCTACTAAGCAAATTTCCCCTTTATATTGAATGGCAAATTCAAATGTTAATCAGTTCCTTCTTGTAATCCAAATTAAAGAGATTGATGTATTTTGTGTATACTTCAGTTCAAACAATATTTTTATGTGTACTTTAGGACACACAAACTATGGCTTAGAATGACATGATAAATCCAGTGAGAACATTTAGTATTTCTTGCCACACCAAAATCAATCATGCATTCTTTCATTCATTTATGCCCATTTGTACTTAGTAGAAATTCTAATTCCTTACTTTGGCCTCTCAACTTCATTGCCTTCCACTTTTCCAGTATACCGTATTCTTTGGATACACCAAACTTTTCTATTTGATGTTATTTCACATTGTTCCCTGCTCTTTGATTGGTCATAGTTCTCTTTCATTATTCAGGTCTCAATTTAAGAGTCTTTTCTGAGGAGCAACTGGAATATGTATTCAATTACCTTTATGAACAACTAACTACATCCTTTGCTAGGAGACCAAACTGGATAGTGTTTGACTGTTTTTTTCATTAAGTGCCATTGAGTCACCTTCAACTCATAGCAACCCTATGTACAACAGAATGAAATACTGCCTGGTCCTGCGCCAGCTTCATAATCCTTGCTATACCTGAGCTCATCGTTGCAGCCACTGTGTCAATCCATCTCATAGAGGGCCTTCCTCTTTTTTGTTTTCCCTCCACTTTATCAAGCATGATATCCTTCTCCAGGGAATGGTCCCTTCTGAAAATATGACCAAAGTAGGTGAGACAAAGTCTGTCCATTCTCGCTTCCAGGGAGCATTCCAGCTGCACTTCTTCCAGGACAGATTTGTTAGCTCTTTTGACAGCCCATGGTACTTTCAGTACTCACTTTTCATGAACACCACAACTTAAAAGCATCAACTCTTCTTCAATCTTCCTTATTCATTGTCCAGCTTTCGTGTTTGACTACCATTACCAAACAATTTGATCAGATGTTCTATAGAAGAATCCTGATCAAAAAAGGGGTAAATCTGGAATGTTGTTGTTGTTGTTATGTGCCGTCGAGTCAGACCTGACTCATTGCGACCCCCCTTGGGTTTCTGAGGCAGTATCACTATGAAATTAGATTGTCCAACCTTCCTTCCGAGGAGTGGCTGGTGGGTTTAAACCCCCAGCCTTCTGGTTAGCAGTCAAGTGCCTTAGGCACTACGCTACCATTCTCATAGAATCCAGACTTTCTGGAGCAGTTGAGGCTGGATGGCCCCATTCCTGAACCAAAACTACTGCCTTGAGGAAATTCGTAAACCTTAAGCCAAAACTATCTCCTGAAGTCATCTTAAAATCAAACAATACCTTAGCTTAATTAGAAAAGAATGTCTACCTTAAGCATGTGTTCTTTTAAAGAATTATATACATCACATCAAATTGAAAACAGCAACTCAGAAGGTTAGATGAGAAGGTTAGAAGGCAGTGAGTTTGTGCTGCAGATGGTAAAACAATTTGGAAGAGGATATCCTAAAATGTGGTACAACTTGAAGAATGTAACCAATGTCACTGAATTGTATGTACATGCAGAAATTATTGAATCGGTGTACATTTTGCTGTGTATATCTTCATTAAAAAAAAAAAAGATATTATGGTCCTTGCCCCAGAATGTGTAAAAAAAAAAAAAAACACCTTCTCCAGAAGGCCTTCCTAGACTATGATCTTCCTCATTTTAGTCATTCTACCCTATTACTCTGCTTCATTTTATTCATTTATTTATCACTAGTTGGAATTAACTTAATGGCAACCTTTTTTTTTTTTTTTTTAAGCTAATTTTACCTTAACTCGTGTCTGAAAAAGGCATGGCAGAGGTGTATCTGACATCCTCTAACTTCTGGAGTGGGGAGAGAGAATCACCATGAGCATTAATAGCCCAAGGCTGATTCCTGATGAGAAGGTCAGACATGCCCCCACCCTCCAATCTTTTTACCAATTCTGACACCAGCTCCATGGCACTCTCTACTTCTCTGCTATATTCAATAATACATTGCAAAGGCCACACAGAGTTCATGAACAGTACTCATCAATATGGAGTTTATTAGGGAAGTAACAGGTTACATACAATTCAGGATCAGAAACAACTCAGGACACAGTTTTTCAATCTGGATAGTGCCTTCTCATCAGTGCCCACAGATATGCCTACCTCTTGCCCTTAGCTTCTTGACCTCTTGGATCCGGGGCTCCTAAGCCTCTACCCTGCTTGGGCAAGCATTACAAAGCTCTTTTAGCTCTGCTAGTAAATTATCAGAGATACCCCACCCTGTCAGTAAGCCTCCTGCCTGAAGGCATTCAACTTTCTTGCTCTGTGGATGAGCAAGTCTAGCACCAGGGATAAGTGCCTAGAAGTACCCTACTCCGCTTGTAAGCCTCTTGCCTGAAGTCACTCAGCTTTCTGGCTCCATGGACCAGGAAGTGCATCACACTGTCTCATGCTGGTTTCTTGGTTCTGCTCTTTGCTGCCATTGTTTCTATGTCACTGCTTCTCGCCATTTCTTGTCATCTCAGGTACAATAGCTCTCTCTGTCTCCTTGATCAAGGACGATCAGCACAGGAATCTTAGGTTCAAAGGACACACTCCACTCCTGGCTCTTCATTCTTGATAGTAGTAAGATTCCCTCCTTTCTACATCTGGGATGGTTCCTTTTAAGCCCAGCAGGATTGCAAACCTAACCAATCCCCACATTAGGGTTCTATATACATGGTTCTACCCCCTCAAGGGTGTCATGAACCTTATCTACATTACCAGAACTATCCAATCTCCTTGATGAACCACAATTACCTCATAATTTGCATAGTCCCATCAGTCATCTGGTGGGAGTAAAAAAAAAAAAAACCTTGGCTAGAAGAGCCTTGCCAAGCAATTCACTATATACAACATGTACCTGCTAATTTCTTCATATAGCTGTTATCAGTGTCCCCCACCCCAAATTTAGCTCCAAGAGGAATTTTTTTCTGTCCTATGCATCACTTTATCCTCATTGCCTAGATAATCCCCTAACATGTAGTAAAACCAGTTGTTGTGAAGTCAATTCCAATACATGGCAAGCCCATCTGTGTCAGAATAGAACTGTGCTCCATAAGGTTTTCAATGACTGATGTTTTGGTTGAAGATCACCAGATCTTTCTTCTGAGGTGTCCTACATGAACTTGAACCTTCAGCCTTTTGTTTAGCAGCTGAGAGAGTTAACTGTTTGCACCACCCAGGGACTAGTAGATACTCAATAAATTGTTGTTGAAGGAATGAATAAAATACTTATTGAGGGTTAAGTGTGGGATATAATGTAGGACAAACATGGTCCCTGTCTTCAAGGAGCTCATATTTTAATCTCCTAAATCTCCTTAGCTCTTGACCTCACAGCAGATCCCATCAGAATCCTAAATGTTCACTTTCATTTCCACTCTCATTTCAATCATGTCCAAGAGTGAATACAATAATGAGAGCCGCTTCATACATTTTAGAGCTGTTTTACACAGAGACTCTTAGTGGGACACCCTCACAATCAAGCATTCAAGGCAAGAAGAGTTGCCTATATTTGACAAGGAAAACCGTGAGCCCTCAGTCCCAGATCACAGGGGGGTGGGGCCAGGATGACTTACCAAATGACCACACATCTGACTTGCTGCTGTAGCGGCTGAAGGAGAAAACTTCTGGGGATGCCCACTTCACTGGGAATTTGGTGCCTGTGGAACTGGTGTACTGATCATCGAGGACAAACCTGGGGAGAGAGTAGAAGAAGAAAGTCAGAACATTCAGGGGCCTTAATCCCATTCCTGAGACCTTGCTGGCACCACATTCCCTTATTACCTTGTCATCCCAAAGTCAGACACCTTGATGACTTGGTTTTCTCCCACCAGACAGTTTCGGGCAGCCTAGAGAGGAGACAGGTAAATAAAAGGAAAAGGAAAAGTGTTGGTGGATAATCAGCAATTAAGGAGTCCCCTGTAATCACAGTCCTTTACTTTTCTATGTGCTGTTGTACAAGGGCCTCAAGGAGTTTTACAAACATTAATTAAGCTTCTCAAGTGCCTCCTGGAAGTTAGCTGGAAAGTTGAATATGTAAGATCCTTTGTCAGGATGAGTAAGTTCAGTCTTTTATCTTTATCCCTGGTGTCCTCATTAGAAGAGAACTCCATAGTATTGTCTAACCACTGATGTACTCTAGTGCAAGTAGATGAAATACGAAATGTTAATATTAACGATGCTATGAAAAAGGTGTTTCACACGTGACTAAAATAAGGGAGGTTCTTAATTTGCTTAAAAAAAAAAATGCAACCGTTGTTGTGGAGTTGGATCCAACTCATAGCGACCCCTCCTTGGGTTTCCAAGGCAGTATCACTATAGAAGTAGATTACCCAACCTTCCTTCTGGGGAGTGGCTGGTGGGTTTGAACCGCCAGCCTTCTGGTTAGCAGTCAAATGCCTTAGATACTACGTCACCAGAGCTCCCAAGTCTCTCCCTCAATAGAGAGACTACCTGGCCTCTTGTTAGTATCACAGAATGTTGCATTGGACAAGCCCTTGGAGACAATAGACTCCAGTGATTCTCAAATTTTAGGGTGCTTATAAATCAGTTAAGGAGCTCTGGTGATGTAGTGCCTCAGGCATTTGCTAACCAGAAGGTTGGCGGTCCAAATCTACCAGCTACTCCAGGAAAGGAAGACTGGACAATCTACTTCTGTAAAGATTTACCACCTTAGAAACCCAAAAGGGTTGCTATGAGTCGGAATCAACTCGATGGCAGTGAGTTTGGTTTTGGTTTATCAATCAGTTGGGAGACCATGTCAAAATGAATATTCTTGGAGGCGGGGCAAGATAGCGGACTAGGCAGAAGGATTGCACAGACCCTCTTCAACAAAGAAAAGGGAAACCAATAAATACAGACACAGAAGATAATCTTGGACCCCTGAGCCTTGAAGGAAAGGATGCAGATTTGGACTAAACCCCAACTAGCAGAAGAATTTGCGTGAAAATA